ACAAGGCGATAACAGGGGGAGGAGCCTAATAAGTCCACTTTTTTCCGAAGATGTCTACAGCCTCTCTATTTTTCTTGCTCGCTTCGCTCGCAAACCTCATCCCTCACCCTCGAGTGCTTCGCTCGCTCATTCTTTCGCGTGCGTAAATATAGAGAGGCTGTGAACAGTCTAGAAATTTGTTGTTTAACTTGTTAGGTGTAACCACAAGTGGTCAAACTACTGTAATGTGTATTCCAAAATAAAAAAAAATAAACAGATGCAAGTTTTTACTAGTAACGAATTTGAGAGATTTTAGGTCCTTTCCTCCTTTAGGGTAGGTTTATACATCCCTGCACGCTCATCTCTCTGAATATCGCCTCTAAAAAACTAACAGTCAAATTTCCCTTAAGCGGAAACCCTTTAGACCAGAGAAACTGTCCACTTCGAAGAGGCATCAGCTTACATGAGGTTGAAACTGTAGCGTTTGTATGTGGCTGTGAGAATGATCAGTACTGTCCTTCTGTCAGCGAGTGTCAAGGAGTTACGAAAACATTCGGATTATTTCTGTCATACAAGCCCCTGCCTATTCTTGCTGTATCTTTAGTGGAAAAGCGGAAGTGGATTCTGAATTTCTTGGAACTCGTTATTCCATGCTTATATCAACAAACTGTGAATTGTGAATTGCGACATAACAGAAACCTCTTCAGTTTTTGCTCACAGGTATTAATTGTGTCGTAAAGAATGGCTTACGAAAACGCAAATGACTATGATTACAGACTGGTCAATGATGAAACTGGTCTTAAGGATGCGATCTCTGAGCTCAAAGGGAAAATAGCTGAACGGAACACCCTTTTAGCCGTCGATTGTGAGGGGGATTCGTTGAGCAGGAAGGGAGCGCTTACCATCATCACAGTAGCAACTGAGGAGAAAGCCTACATATTCGATGTGTTGAAATTAGGACAACTCGTATTCAGCAGTGGACTTGGTGAAATTCTTGAAGACAAATCTCGTGAGAAGTTGACGTTTGATTGCCGACAAGATTCCGACGCGCTTTGGCATCAGTTTAAGGTCAAACTAAGCGGAGTCTTGGATCTTCAGCTGCTTGAAGTCATCTATCGCCGAGAAAACCCCGCGGCCGATTCCACCGTAAATACTCCAAGGTTTTCCACCACAAACAAACGTGGTGGTCGTCGCAACCGCCGCAGCCAGAGAACAGATGAAGTAGAGAAGATATATGGTTTTGGTCGTTGCATCGAGTTGTACCTCCAGGATGAAAAGTTGGTCAAAATGAAGGACAAAGGGAAAGAGCTGTTAAAGGAAGACAACGAAGTCTGGACAAAGAGACCCCTGACGGATGATCTTATCCAGTACTGTATTGTGGATACCATGGCGATGTTCAGGTTGTACAGCAAGATGAAGGATGTCAATGGTGGAGAACAGGCTCGTCTGCGAGTTGCATCCGAGAAGTATGTTGATCTGTATCGAGGAAAGACAGAAAGGTCTTTCGATGACTATGAAACAAACGCGTATCTTCCACTTGACATAATTCCTGATAAAGGAACTCTAGATTTTCCTGCCGCTAACACTGAATGTACGCGCTGCCATCGACGATTTCCACGAGAAGAATTCAGCATAACACAGCTGGGAAAAGGAGAACAGAAATGCAGGGTATGTAAGGAAATAAAGCGCCTGGAGGATGTACAACAGAACAGAGTCGATAATTGGGAACGCGCCGCCCAGGAAGAAGAAGAATATGTCTATATTCCTGAAGGCATGTCTGATTACGCGTGGGTTCATGGCCATGAACCCTGGGAGAACTCTGATGACGACAACCCTTATTACTGGTAAAGCCTAATACATTACACGGCAACAGAGAGAATCATTGGAATGACTTTAAAAGTAATGACTTTGAAAGTGAAAGTAGGGAATCATGGTAGTTTTGTGCAATATCTTGAAGATGTCCTCGCGTTACGAAAATAACTACCATGATTCCCTGCGCGCAGGTCTGTCATAGAGGGAATGGCCCATTGGTGAGATAGGTTATGTATTTTACTATAGATGTAGGGGTGGCTATCGGTAATCTTACCCAAATAAGCTTACTAGATTTATAGCCATTTAGAAACACCAGAAAGTATAACTCGTCTAAATAACGAAAGAGAAACATAAGCTAAGCCATTATCATTTAAAGTCTTTTCTTCACATGGCGGTTAGAACAATTTTTGATGTATTGTCATATACTGTCTATCAGCTGAAATCGTAACGCAATCGCCAAAATCATAAAGTCAAGTTGATCTTATACAACGTCCGAAGCGAATGGCTGTGGTTGGGATTCGAGTTACCTTTTGCCTCTGTTTCAAAACGAGTCCTAGTGCAAAACCTGTCGTAAGAAATGAGTTTGATCTGCATGAAAATGAACCTGTAGGCAGAACACATTTTCATATGAATGGTTTCACACAAAGACTCGTTTTGACACCGAGGTAAACCAATTCGGAAATGGCTTGTCCGCTTCCTTTAGGAGCGCGGAGCTTGTCCCTTGACGGGGGTTGAACGTTTTATCCCTGGCATTATTTTCTGTGATTTATCCTCCTAATAACTTCGTTTTACCCGTCATTTGTTTATACAGACAAAGTAAGTTTCGAGGGGCTGCGAAAACACTCGGCTCCTTATTCTCCTAAGGCCCCAGTTATATGGTCGTCGGGTACCCGAGATAACTCTCCCCATGAAGCAACTTTATCGAGCGTTTATATGTGAAAACGTTGTCTCTGTAGTCCGAGTCAAAGTTGACCCCGCATGGTTATTAATAACCCTGATTGAATAATCAAATGTGCAAATATCCCTCTTTCTTTGAGCTTTTCTCGGTCATTCGATCAAAGTGAGTTTTGCGGGGTTAATTTTCACTTCTTTGATACGAATTTCTGCTTTAAATCCTAAATCTAGACATTTCGTGACACTCGCCACGCCGAGAATTGTCTCGGTTAGGGGAGCCAAAGTGATTATATGAAGAAAAGTTGTCTCGTCTGCCAGTGTTACCCTAGCGGCCGAGGCGAGGCAACTCGCCCACCCGAGTTGTCTCGCCCCCCTGAGCCGGGTTCGCGATCCTCTTGTAAACGGCTGGTTGAATTTTGCAAAGAAAGCTACCTCGGCTAGGGTAACTTGTGGGGAGGGCTGTCTCAAGTAACTGCGACCATATAAATGAGTCTAAGCCCCTCCCCGCTGTCAACCTCGTTTCCAGAGTCCTCTCTCTTCCTCCCTCGAGAAAGTAAGAGAGAGGACCCTGGGAACGAGGTTGCCCCGCTGTATGTTAGCTGGAAAAGCGGAAGTGGATAGCGAAATTCTCGGAGTGCTAACGTCAAGAAATTGTGAATTCATAACAAAATGGCTTGCGAAAACGCAAATGATTATGACTACAGATTAGTCGATGATGAAACGGGTCTAAAGGATGCTATCTCTGAGCTCAAACGGAAAATAGAGGAACGGAACACCCTTTTAGCCGTCGATTGTGAGGGGGCTTCCCTTAGCAGGAAGGGAGCGCTTACCATCATCATAGTAGCAACTGAGGAGAAAGTCTACATATTCGATGTGTTGAAATTAGGACAAGTCGTATTCAGCAGTGGACTTGGCGAAATCCTTGCAGACAAATCTCGTGAGAAGTTGACTTTTGATTGCCGACAAGATTCCGACGCGCTTTGGCATCAGTTTAAGGTCAAACTAAGCGGAGTCTTGGATCTTCAGCTGCTTGAAGTCATCTATCG